TCTCATATGACTGTGCAATGTAACAGAGCAGAATCAAACGATTCTCAGGTTCAAACGCGTTTAGTAAGTAGTTTAATCTTACCCCTCCGCCCACGGAACATTCCAGAAAATATCCCTGTAATGGAGATGTGTGGAAGATTTGGTTTGTTCCCTGCCCTTTTATTAGTTGCATTCACCGAGCTCAAGATGCCTGTTTATTAAAAATGTTCCCTGAAATACAAAGTGGCAGGTCCGCGTTTAGAAAAAATAACTATCAAACGTGAGATCACATTTGTCATTGAATAACATACCTCTTGTTAGGAAGTCGTAGGCAATTTAGCAAAAATATAAATATTGAAAAACAAAACCGAAAAACAAAAACGTACCTCTTGGTTTCCCAAAAGGTCCACCTAAAATATTTCGGAACTAATTTTTCAAAGTGATCATGAAAATTTAAAAGAAGAAAGGTTTAACATGACTTGTGCCAGGCAATCAAAGTGCTGTTTGAGGCGGTTAATTAAACCAGCACTCAAAAGCAGGATGCGGTTTTAAGACCGAAAAATGTTTAATGTCGCCACATTGGCCGGTCAACCCAAAATAGCACTAATATAAACCATTTTTGGAATTTTTTTCATTTGGAAAAAGGAGAACCTAAATGGAGAATTTGCATTTGTACCAGCCTCCAATGAAAATTTCATCTTTGCAGCCTCAAATTTCCTGGTAACCCTGCAACAAGATGTCGAACAGCCGGAGCTGGGTAGGTATCGGGCTCCTGTGACAAGTTCATACTGAGAATTTCTGCTAATAAGATCAACTGATCGAAAAAAATTAGGTGGGTTTCTTAACCGCTGGTTGGAGTGCCAGTCTAGATCATGGCATCGTACACATGTGTGAACGTTCGCAGTTTTGTACTTGACGCTGGATTCTATCTCGGTTGTCCTTATTTATGGCTGCCCGAAGAATAAGAGCCCATGTGGTCAAAACGTGTTAGCTTCAGGACATGGGCTTTCAGAGAATAATATAATTTTGGTTGTGGAGCCGAAACAATCAGTGTGCCATGCCCACAATCAGAGATTTTTTAGTGGGGGAAGAACTACAAAACCCTTTCTTTTATGGTGAGATATAAGGCTGGCAAATAACTTGTCCGATTTAAACCACGGTCGTTTTGAATGTGCATCATTTGTTGAGACAAATTCAGGATTAGCTGGAAAACACAACATGAACTATGGAACTGATCAACCGTCTAAACTTTTTGAAGGTTTCGATGTATAACTTTGATGATAATTTACACTGAGAACCCAAACAAACTTAAATTTTTCTCCCGTAAGTGAAGCCAATCTGTGGTGAAAAGCCGGGAAACAATTGCAGCCTTTTCAGAGTTATTGGGAATAATTAGCAGCGCGCATTCCACATACAGGAGTTGGTATTCCCGAAATCTTACCACACGATCACGAATCCCGAGTAATATGTTTCCTTTCTACCAAAGGATAAATACTACTTCGACTAGAGGCTCATATCCGTATAAGGTTTTTATTGCAACTGAATTTCTTCATCTGCCATACAGATATTTTCACTGGCTCTATGGTTCGGTTTCTAAACCTACATTTTGCTAAACCACAGAAAGTGTGCTCAAAGTATAACCTTCGTCGAACTAAACCAATAAGCACACTCAGCTACCATCAGTAGTATTTTTAGACCACACTTGTTAAGAGAGTCTATTAAATAAAATGCTTTATACTGGTACTACATTGCCTTCGTTCATTTTACATTCCATATTATCGACTTTTCTTTTGTTAAAAAAATTCCAGTTTTCAAAAATATTGGACGTTCACAACTTTCATGCAGATGTTATGACTGCATCATTAGGAATCCGTGTTTTAGGTGGAACGTTCACAAACCGAATACTAAAATGACCTCTAGGTAAACATTCGTGAAACTTGTTAGAGTTAACAGAACATAAATTAAATCAAACAGTTTTCACAGTAACTCACCACTTGGCATCCCATAAGGTCCAACTGAAATATGGGGCAGATGATCGTTGTTTGATATTTGTTCTACCAGTGAACTAACTTGTAGACATGAAGACTTATACAGGGAGCATATATGGAAAGCAAACGGTGCCAGGACACCACGGTGCTCCTTATCGTGACAAATAAATCAATCACCCAAAACAGAGCCCAAGTTTGAGCCTGACAGTTTCCACTGTCAACACGCTGCTTCATCAATCGGAATAGCCCTGATATTAATCAATATTACAAACAACTTTTTTATTACAAGTGGAAAACTTCCATGGAGACCTTGCATCCGCACCACTCTCTTGTGAATCAGTCTTTATCCAGTTCTGCTGCAATTTTCAATTCGACTCTACGACAAAGGATCCAACCTCCGGACCCTAATGTCACATCTGTTAGAGCTCAGCAGGTTTCCAGCTTCCACAATACTTCAAAACTGATCGACAAAACTAGGTGAGTTTCCTAACTGCCGGTTGAGGAGCCAGTCAAGACCATGCCTTTGTTTAGACGTGTGAATTTTCGCCACTTCATGCTTGTTGGTTGAGATGCAACTCCCGTAGAGTTGCGTGAACAAGCTTGACATGTATGTCAGATGCTTGAGGTTTAAATTCCGGTACGGAAAATTATACGCAGTAGTGGTTTGTAATAAAAGGAAACTTTGACTTCAGTGCTTTTTTTTGTCGGCGGACCCATACATAATTGATTGTCCAGCAAATGCGAACGGTTACAAAACAAGATGTGAGTGAATTTAAATTTTTCTATCCGCAATATAATATGAGAATCTTCAAGGAGCAGCTTTTCAAGCAAACGGCAATAAAAAGGCGAAGTTACATATCATCCCTTGTGGATTTCCGCTCATATTAAATACGGTAACCTAAAGAATCTCCACGCAAACAGTGGTTCATCTATCTTATGTAAACATGAGTTTTTACATAAATCTGGTTCTTCGGTTTTGCCGTTATGCGCAAGCGGCCAACTAGAGTGTAATTAGTTCCCAAACATACGTATCACGTAAAATCTCCCCGCAGCTGCTAATGACCCCTGATGAAAAACAGAGTGGCTTTATTTCAAAAGGTTTGTGAAGTCGGGTTTGAAACAAGCAAGCATATTTAATTTCATAAAGTATTTTTTTTTGTTCGTGTCTAAAACAATAGCATAAACTTTGTTCATTATATTCCAGGTAATGAAAATCAAGTTAAACCCCAAATTTGAGTAAAGGGATCAAGTTTTTAAAGAACAATTCCCTCATGAAGAAAAATTAACGGTTATTATCTGACGTGTGAATCGACCGTACTGCATTTGATTCCTGGTCACAAAGATTCTCACAGTTGTGAAAGTTTCCAAAGGCCAGCTTGAAAAAAATGAATTATACCAGAGTGCGAGCTGCGTCCCTTTTGTAGTTTCGCCAATTTTTGTGCACAACATCGACTTGTTCTGAATCCTACAGTAACGACCATGTGCTTCAGGACCGAAAACCAACCATGTATGGATTCGTAACCGAAAGTACTAGGGCATTGTACTCACATTCACAGGCTTTTTGAGGTGAAATAACTATTGCAGTGGGAACAACGCTTGAATTTACTAAAAAGGCGTAGATGAGTTTTCTGACTGCCGAGCATATCATTCTGAAAACATTTCGTGTACACTCGAAGCATTCTCATTCAAAATTTATCACAAATTACATTTAATATGACTCAAAACCGCGGGTACGTTAGGCTCTTTCGATCGATAAGTGAATTCTACCATTCCGTTCAAAATTTATTGAAAAGGGAAGGAAACTGAGTGCATCTTATTCATGTATTGTTATCCATAATTTCTGGAAACACGGGCACATAACGGCGATTTGTCGCAATCTGTATTGATTAAGAATTCCTACATCTACCTGTCTGAAAACCAAGCAATTAATCGGATCAAGTGCGAAGTTTTGGCTTCAAATTTTGGAATCGCAGAACCTCTGAAATAAGTAGTATGGTTCCACAGGGAGTTGAATTTCTAGATGAGTGTTCGTTGGCCACTCCATCTTTAGTCATCTACATATAACGGCCTCGTTGTTTCAAGTTTCTGCAAGTGTTGCGCAACAGGACGTTTTGCTTTACTAATTTGTATATGCTCAACTGGATTAAGCAGGAATCCAGTGCCTCGAACACAGTCACCAATAATGCCAGCTAGTCCGCTACCTATAATTTAAAAGTCTAGAATGTCCAGCCGATAATACATAGCACGTTGTTTTGAGCTGAACAAGTCATCTCTAGCTGGAAAATAAAGTGTTTACAAAAGTTAATAGTTTAGGAGGGTGGTGGACGGGTCAGAATAGAATATTTAAGGGAAACGTATAAAGAAAGTGCTGCACAAAAATACACGTTTCCAAGGAAATACCAAATTACGGATTCTGCTTTGAGAATAACAAATAGTATCAAATGCGAATGGTCTCGAGCAGGTGACAGAATGCTACCATTTTAGAAACGAAAAAGAAACAAGTTTTATTGAGGACATGTGTTTGTTCACATTTCTACAAGTGGTTGATTAAATCGTTGCCCAACCGTTTTCCGCGATTCATCTCTAGGACGGCAGACGGTAATCACTGATGTGATACGGACACCCCAAAACCAGAGAATGAAAGCCACAAGACGTGCTCGATGGAGATGATTTTCCTGAATTATCGTTTGAAGAAAACGGTATGCAGAGATCTCAGTAAGCAGCTGACAAAACAGCAATTAATGGATGTGCAAACCCAACATGAGCTGAAATTTTTACGTCTACAACTTTTGAGATGTTTTTGGGTTTTGCGCGATAGGTATTTTGTTATAGTCACACCGGTATGCAGAGATCTCAGTAAGCAGCTGACAAAACAGCAATTAATGGATGTGCAAACCCAACATGAGCTGAAATTTTTACGTCTACAACTTTTGAGATGTTTTTGGGTTTTGCGCGATAGGTATTTTGTTCATAGTCACACCACTGTCATTTGAACGGTCGTGTTCTTGTTCTGGCGTAATTATTCCGGTGAGTTCACACCAAAAGAAAGCACCGGACTTGAGTTTCGCTCTTATCAGAGCTCATCAGAAGTGCATATCCAATGGCTGTGCCGGAATTTGAACCCCGGACATCAGACATGCAAGGCGAGCGTGTAACAACTACTCCACGTTCGAGATAATAGATCCAAAGAACGAAATCATATGCAATCGACCACATTGGGATCAGTGACGTGGTCACTCTAGGATTCCCGAAAATCAGCTTCAGGCAGATGAACAAATAATACGAGAGGTACAACCGTGAAACTCTTAACTTTTTTCCCAGTAATGCTGCCTTTAGTTTAACTGTTGAGTAATCGCGCTTGAACCCAAATAGGATAATTGAGACATAATTTTGATGTCTTCTGATGTAAGCTACTACATTTTTCATACTGTCACTGACGCGATGTTCACCTAATATACAGGTAAATCATACCCCCCAAAATTTAACACAGTCCTCTTTTGGGGCTGATCGTTTTGATAACTGTTCACGTACGGTTTGCATCAAGGTTATGTTACTGAGAGCAGGTGCAGTTAACAGGCATATGTGGCTGAGTTCTTGATGTGTGCTTTCGACACCTCAGAGACGAAACTTTAAACTAGGTTGACGCCCCCTGAAAGAACATTGTTTCGCAAATGCAATTTCGTCGTATTGCACAAATTCCGTATTTATCGGTACGGATATCATGAAGTTGTTTGCATTTCGATAGCGTTAGTCGTCGATAAAACTCCTCTGTGGGTTATGACTTTCATCTCGTTCAAGCAAGAAGAACATGGTTCACACAAGGAAACAGATTGAAAACTGATCTGCGTACAGATTACTTCAAATATTTGCTCTGCGACACCATCTAAAGTGCAGCACTAATTTAGCAAGCACACAGGAGGTTTCTAAACACGTTAAATCTACCAAAAACTTAAAACTCCATTCGAATGGTCTTTCGGTTTTTGTTCGCTTTGTTTTTTGCTTAGAAACACAGGCCTCATGTGGCTGTCAAATTTCTAAGGAGAATCTATCCAAGAACAAACCTTTTCCTCTTCCTGTGAACAGGGGAGAAGTAAGTTACGTATTTGTACTTTCCCAAAAAGAGCTGGACAAAACAAAACGTTTTTCTTTTCAAATAGACCAACAAACTTATTTACATTGTTTTTTGTAAGATATTCCAAAGCAAAGACAGATTGTTTGCATCAGTGTTGGATTCAAAGATAAATAGGGACCCTTCGACTTCCACCAGTTCGACTTCGCTTCAAAAAAATTTCATCAACACGTTGGCAACATTCCCCCTACGTAAGATAACGATAGGCTGGGAAATGGTTGTAACTCCTCTCTGTCTATTGATGCGAAATGTTCAACTGGTATTGAAAATCTGCTTGCTTCTACTCCGAAAACTTAACTACATTACCTAAATGGTCATCGTCTGATAAAATCAATCCACCAAAGGAACCGTATATTTCCGAAACGTGCTTAAAAGTGCAACAAACTGTTCATTCTGCCCCCAATCAGACAACCTAGTTTGTGAGACCCATCTCTTGAAGTCTACATCATGTTGTACGATAGCGCTAATGCATGCGGCAACATTTCAATCTGTATACATTTTTTCCACTCAAAGTTTTACGAATCCCGTAAAACCAATTTAGCGCAGTCAGGATGTGGGGAAAATATGCGAAGAACGTTTTCACATAGATTCCGTTATGCAACTGATATTTCAGGCAAGGATACCTAGAGTGATTTGACTTTACATCCACTTCAGTCTGTATGCTTACCAAACAAAGTCCAACAGTAAATGTTTTCTCTTAGACAGGACTTTTCACACCTGTAACTAACAATAAGCATTCCTGGGTCAATGAGTCGCCACACTAAAAGCGATTATGCTCGTAGTCACACGGAGAGCGACAGCCGTGCTTCTTGAAGTTTGTGCCTCGCATAAACTTGATGATTGACCTTGAACCACTTACTTCCAATTGATCAGCATCACGCCTCTATTATCAACCTTTTCTTTTCCTCCAATATGTTCTGGGTGTACATGTTTGTTTGTTGTGGGCAGCACGTTTATAACCATGCAATGTCCCATGCTGGCAGGTCATATAGTGTGCGGGCAGTGGTTTGCCTCAAACCCGTAGATTTATCCTTATCATTTTATCTCGATTTCCAACATAGCTAGAAGGACTCTGGCTGACTGGTAATGTGAAAACCTATCCTAAACGCTCAGCCGCGGAAATGTGATAGCTAAAAATCCCGGCGCAATAATTTCCGGATATTTTTGTAAATTAACTACTAAAATTTTGTTACGCACGGGCCGTTCAGCTACCTGCCGAAAAGTAGGTTGTGCAGAATAACGATGGGACGTTTTGTTTCCTTTGTTTGACGATTATGCATTTCTGATGCAAGTAGGCCATGTGATTAACGGCGTCTGTGTTCAAAATAAGTGAGCGGTTTAAATACGGATTGTCGCGGTGTCAGCAAAAATTACTGCTATTCCGCTTATAATTACTGCCCGAAGTTTCAGCATTTAGCGCAATCAGAAACTGGACTCAGTTCGTCTAAGTGCTATTCACATTTTACGGATGAAAAACGACTTGCTAGAGTATTTTATTTCTAGTAAGCTGAATCAAAATGTAGGACCTGTAATCTCAGGTAAGCGTAGTAGTTGATCCCTCTGCGCCAAGCGTAACTGCTCATCGGTAAGTTATTTTTTATGTTAACAGTGTTGGTATCATCACACAAAAGAGACATAGAGGAAGTATTCGCCTCTTCACTGATGCCCTTTTGGATGAACGCAGCCATAATGAGATTTATTTGTGTCATATTTTATTGGGCCGATCTTGTCGTTATTGTGTACGACGTGGCGAACAATACTTCAGACAACACAATGCTCCCCAGGGTTTTCACTCAATCTGGCAATGAGGTATTACAAAAGAGAGCTGTTTGAATACATTGACTATTAGTATGATTGGAACAGCATCTTCTTTAGTGCGCGTAGTAGCACAGCAAAGAGCCATCGGCTGTGTTACACCGCAAGACAGGCTAGAAATTCAGCTCGGATGACACGAACCTGTTAAAGCGATATATATCAACCAACGATAGTGCAGTGGATTGTATGAGGTTGTAAACCACTTGAATTCTGCAAAGGTTGTGCGACTCCTGACTAGTCAGCATGAGTTACCAATCAAAGTACTTGCTTGCGGATGGTAGCGAAGGCCAATGCAATAACATCAGGAACGATAAAATTTGGAGAGGCACTTCTCATTCTGGTATTGGGAAACCCTGATAGCAGTCGTCAGTGAAACTAAAATAGTAAAGAGTAGCAAAATTACCGGTCTAACAGGCTTCTGTGTGCTGACCAGTCAACGTTTGTTCAACCTAGCTATGATATTTGTCTCAGCAGCCAGTTTTCCACGGTTGCACTCAAGAGAAAGTAGGCATTGTTCTTGACTGCAAACCCCAGTGGATTGCAGTTATTTTATCCAAATTCATGAAGCCACCATCTGTTGCTGCCGTATTTACTCGTTTCTGTATGCAATTCAGGTATTATGAATGAACGGTCATGTGGTGACGAGTGCGTAAGCTCTTGGCCCGTTTTTGGGGGTCGGTTGTACTATGATCCCACTGCACTCAGTCTGATAGGTTCCCCGGATGTGGCTGATCCAGCAGTTTTGTTTCGTCGTTCAATAAGACGCACCTTTTTTGTTCTCCGGTTCGCCCATTGGTGGATCTTCCATCTTTGGCAATGTTCTTTCTTTGATTTGATTGTTCCCGTTATTTATCGCTCAGTTATTTGATAATTTCTATTGTTACTATGGATCTTTTGGCTGAGCTGACATTGATTCAGTAATTACTTAGAGTTTTCTATCTGATATCCAACGTCTCCGAGCGTCAACCAGTATTTTTATGTTCTTGCAGTAAAATCAAGATCTTTCCGCTCGTCTTCTTGGGGCAGAACAAATAACGCTTCGAAATATGAAGATCAAATCAAGTTATATCCTTCATCTCATAACTGAACTGAAATGTAGCGCAATGTGCTCCAACTTAAGGAATACGTATTCAGGTGAATGGAAACATAGATGATTGCACAAACGATTGCCTTAATAGCGTACGTCTGCTTTTTCTTGGGTGCTCGTACAATCTGTAATTCGCCAGTGAGATCGGGTAAAAAACTTTACTCAGCTTGAAGCCAAATCTTTTGGGCTTGATAATGAAACTCGTACGGAATATGCATTGAATATTTTGAATAGACTTTCAAGCACCAGTAAGTAGGATAGCTTTGACCCTCTTCCACTAGTCATTGACGCGTTTTCTGTGGTGCAGTATCATATTCAGCCCACCACAAACTCTCTGAGAAGTAAGCAAGTAAGCAGGTGATTGATTTTGGGACCTTAATGGCGTTTCCTAAGATGTTTGAAGGACTACTGGTGGTTTCTTATTAATATTCAGTTGTGACGGGTGAAAGTGCCATGTCTGGGAGAGCTGGTGATAGGTTTAAGATTGGGTAGTTCTGTGTGCCAAGTTTTCCGCCTTCAAATGGATGAACAGTTGGTTATTCCTGGATAACCTTCAGTGAAAACGCTTTACGGAGCCACGAGCCGAAAACGGTGATACTGACACATAACAGCGTACGCCCAATTGGCTGGCTGGTTTACTGGGGAATTGGTGATGTCTGTCTACTGCATTATCCCAAGCCTGCACTAGCTGGCCCAAAATAGTCACCGAGTCTCTGCAAGTGCTAACCAAGATATAAGGTCTAGACTATTAATGCCTGGTTTGCCTCCCAGATGTGTCAGCGAAAAATCGCTTCCTGTGAGCATCACTGTTCTACCTATGGAAGACCGTACACACTTCATGTGAGGCAACATTTATTGGACTTGCAGTTTGACCAATTTGGTTGGAATTGGCCGGCATTTGGCGTGTGTCTTGTGAAGTGGTCACGCCTTCACAAGTGCGTAAAACAGCTTTATGGTGAACGAATTTTCATAGACTATAAACTCATTTCTCCTCCCTTCATTTCTGTCGACTATTCTCCAAAGCCCTGCTAGAGGGCTAGGAAATGAGCCTCAAAAGTGTCAGACCCTGTCCTTTGGAACACCGAGGTGTGCATGGCGCTTCATCTCCAGTATACTCCATTTTAAAGTAGTTTTCCTGCACTGTTCTCCATCTCCCTCACAAGCGGCTATCGGACACAAGATTGTTCAAGTTCACGGCACAACAACATCTTTCTCTTGAAGCATTACACGTACTTGGAATAGTTGAATGTGAAAGCAGTTTGAGGATGTTTCGGACTCTTGTTTTAGTGCATCTCCATGGTGGTACTGCCTTTTTTCTATGCCAAAGAATTTAGGGACTGTCCTGCACCAAACTTTCCAAACTTACATTTCAGATACAGAGCACCAAATCCATCACAGCAACACATAACCACTTCGACTCAGGAATCTTGACTAGTTGCTTTGTACCCCCAATTAAATTGCTCAGCTATCGATCTGTGGGCTTTGTTTTGATCCTCAAGCTAACTTCGTACTGTGCACCAGGCGACCATAGGCAGTCGAAAATTTACCAAAGAATGCCCAGTCTCATTCAGTTTACGGTTTATTCTGAAGCAGATGGTCTCCGTTTAACTTCACCCTGGTCTGTACACTGCCACTGATAATGACTCATGCCATCATAAGAAAGAAACAAGTCAACAGATGATGAGCCCCACCGTTTCATCAAAATCCACTGAGTACCCTATCCAGCAACCTCAAAGTTTTATTCAACCTGATCATGCAGACAGCAATGTGCAACAGATAGTTGGGTTGAAAAATGATATATTCTCCACTTAGCACTCATGACATTTCCGCGCATGGTGATGGAACTTTCACGTGCAAACGTCCAAGCTCAGCAAACGAATAAACCGTCACTGGTAAACAGCCAACTTATCTCGTACTTGATAAGTAGTACCGTTAGTGTTGTCATCTACCGCGTCTTTGCCCATTTATCTGACTCTGTCGACCCCCTGACTACAGCATGTCATTCCGCTTTCATTTCCGACAATCAGGTAGCCCCAACCGCTGGTACTTGATGTGTGGGGGTGATTTTCACTTGGTGTGTTAAAGTAAAAATTCTTAAAGGATATATGCTAGACCGGTAAATCTGGACCTTCCAAGTTAAATGTGTATTCGTTGTCTCCGCCTACGGCCGGATTGACTGTAGCCCAGGTTTGAACAAAACTGTGCTCGACAATACTGATCACAGACTGTAAAGCGCTGGTAAGGATGATGTTTCACATTTATTATCTTAGCATGACGTGGGGGGCTAAAAGGTGAAAACTTGCCAGCTACCGCAAGTAAGTTACAAACAGGTGATGCAAAATCCTGCCAAAAAATATAGCTAGCCGTTGTAAGTGAAGGTATGTTTACTCCGCTTGGAACGAACGTTACTTGTAGATCACATTGGCAACTCCAAGGAGTTCCAAGTAAGACCCTCATCTGAGTGTGTATCGCTCGACCCAGTAATCTTATAATGAGTTGTATGGCCACTAATCATCCATCCAGAAATATACCCCTTGGTTCTAAGCCTGCTTCGCTAAGAGCTCTTCTACCTACGGGTCATGTTTCCTGTAGAGGGCACTGACTCTGGCGAGGCCCTTATATACTGCCCTCTTGATCTACTACTCACTTCTATCAAAGCATATTTCAAAAAGTGATCCACCAATGTTTCGACCATAAATTTGCTGCGCATGACAGTCCTACACTACCTGAAGTCAGCCCATCTTCTCCCTCTTGAGTGCAGCAGAAGAGATTCCGGTGCACTGATCCAACGCAGTGATGAGAATTTGAAATGCCGCCCGTAGAGAACACCAAATTGGTTTAGGAGTTTTGCACTCCTCAAACAGAAAAGACCGCTAATACACGCTCCATATAACATGTAACATGTATGCAATACTGTACAAATGTTGGACGTAAACGGCCCGCTCTAGCTAGTCTGACTATGCCCAATAGCAAGAATGACATCCACTGCTAAAACTCCGTATTCGAATGGATGATGTTGCAACTAGTCCACTTCAGTACAACATTACAACGGGTAAGAATGCTGCCTGAAATTTCTCCCCAAATCGTCACACAAAATTATTTTCTGATATTTTCCATGTTTATACAATTACGGGACAAAAGTTTAATTATTTCACTTATGATTAACATATCGTATTTGCTTTCTTCTTTGATTTGTTCAAAATAAGATGTTATTCTGCGGGTCCTCATCGTATGAATAATAGTGCTAAACATTATAATCTATATAAAAACTTACCCCCACTGAACAGCCGGCTGCCTGGCCCTGTATTTACAAGTGTAAACGGAGTAACGAAGCCCTATATAACATTATTCGTATTTCGGGATTTCGTTCCGTGCATACACCAGTATTCGTGTATTTCTTGGTTTTATAAAGCAGCAAATCGGAATGGGGTTTCACAACGTTTCGCAGGAGTACATCCCTATAGGATTCTGCTGTTTGCACAGAATGAAACATTGCCTTCTGAGTAATTTGTACTTTGTGTTCACCACTTGTCAGTCCCAGCGAATCGTCCAAGCACAAACATTCACATGACAGGGAACTTAGCAGTTAGCATCCCTGACGAAAACCCACTGGATATCAAAACAAGCAGGCCCACTCCTCGATTCCACTGATGGTACTCTTCAGAAGGCTGAACAGAATTCTACCAGAAAGGATATTCCAAATCAGCTCAGTTGCTTACGAATACAGAAACCTGCTGGACTCTGAGTTCTGTGAAATCATGTGTAACTGAAACCTTTTTCGTATGTTCGCCAAAAACCGTTGTTGATTAGGTCACTAAGGATGACATTCGATATCTAGATTGCATTAGATACCTGCATTTTGATCGCTGAGTTGAATATTTTAGATAAACTTTTCGTTGTCCTTCTATCTCTTCAACTTATTGATCATTTGGCCAACTCAGGGCAAGTATGAGATTCCTTGATTCCTTCTACTCCCTGGATAGGGAGGTTCTTACTAATTATCATTTATTTATTATCATTTATTTTTGAAGAGCATGGTCACAAACATAAAAAGTGAGTGCAAGCGATGAATGCGAAAGAGTAACAGGAGAATATGGGAGAAAAGAGAGAAACGTCTCATTCGAGATCATGCCAAGGGCAGTTCCAGTCTGATGAGGTGAATCCCAAAGCATGTAAAGATTTTGGTATGGGAACACGCTGCTTACTTACTACTTACTGACTTACTACTTACTTACTTACTAATTACTTGCTTACTACTACTTACTACTTACACAAGGCAGAGTAGAAATGCCTTCGGTCTTTCTACATATTCTTCGTGCCATTTTATTCTCATACTTTTGGTCGAGTCGGGGTTTACAACTGGACTATCCAATTTTCCCACAACTAGCAGCGTTCGTTGTTGCTTGTTGTTGTATCCCTCGTTTGCTTCACGATCATGAGGTGTGCTCTCCGAAGGATCATGAAGCTGAGAGAAAATTCCGGTTTAGTTGGATTATGTTAACGACGCTAATCAATTAGATGACGACTATAGGCGTGTATGAGCTCATCCAAATGAAATATAGGAACTTGATTTGGTTACGATTACGGGTTTTTTCGGGAAGGGTATTTTGTTTGAACTCTCGTTTGAACGGTCGAGTTCCTGCTCTGGCGTAAGTATTCCGCTGAGTCCACGCCAAAGGAAGCACTGGACTCGAGTTTCGCTCTTACTAGAGCTCATCAGCAGTGCATATCCAATGGTCAAGCCAGAAGTTGGTGTGTGGACTCACCGGAATAATTACGCCAGAACAGGAACACGACCGTTCAAACGAGAGTGGTGTGACTATGAACTAGATTTGGTTAGTAAGTTTCTCTATCTTAGAAGCTATAACGAGTGAAGTTGTGGCACACATCACCAAGGCACGAGTAACATTCACAATTCTGAGTCGGTTATGGCATCAGCAACGAATGGCGTTATGTTTGGAGAGCCGCGCCAAAAAAGGTCACCATTACAGCAGTCGTAATCTATGGCTGTGAATCTGAGGGCCTCATACTTCATCAGATGCCTGGTCAACCACGTCGAATTAATATAACAGGCCTTGACGGGCTGTAGCGAAGCAGACACCAGCTAGGGAATTGCATACGCTCAAGAAGAAGCTAAGGCTTATCTGTTTATGCTGGTCGAGGTATGCGATAAGTGAATCTTACCAGTCTACTAAAAGTGGGTGTTGACTTCTATTCCAAAGGCTAATTCCCAAAAGTTGACGAAATTCACCCCATGAATTCATGAAAAACTGATTTCTGGTGCTTTCAAGTTGAGCGCCTTGAGATCTTTGCATCACTTTGGGTGGGATCAACACGTTCCCCTTGCGCATGACTGAAGGTCCTCCAGGATATGGCCTGCCGCTGATCATATTATCGAGCTCGTTGTCACTTCTAGCCGAGCTACTAGCTGACGCTTGTCTGTCACAGCACCCTGGCATGGTTTTGGGTGAGCTTAACAAACGGTATTGGGTTAAGGATGCTGATAGCTTTTGCATCAACACGATCTCAGGATACATTTACCCCAATGGCTTTGAGATGCGTGGGTACCTTGTCTTTGGACAGGTTTCCACCACTTTCTCTAATTTTTATCTTATACTGGATCCTTATTCCCTCCATCAATCTGGATTCGCTAGGCACCAGTTTCCACGACTAGTTGGATTGTTGATATCATACATTGAAGCTACACGCCCTCTTCGTTCATACTTAACCCAAAATTGACAGCAGTAAGTCAACTGAGTGGAACAAGGTTTGGCCCTAAATTCTTGGGACAAATTTGACATACACTTCAAGGCTTTCAATGTTCATACTGATCATCCTTTTAGCAATTATAAAACAATATCGCCTAATGGCGCCTTTCGTTGCCTGAAGCGCAGAAAACGGGTTTTTCATAAAGTTACCTCCAACGTGACTATGGCACCGTACACAAATCGAATCAATTTTTGAGCAGTTTTTATTTCATTTTAAATGCGACCTACGTCTTCGACCTACTCCAAACCCTGGATGTGAACAAAATGTGAGGTGGAATTTGTGCAATCAAATGACAAACGAGTAATTAGAACAAAGCGTTAATGAAGGCTATTTGTACTCCATGTTAAATTCTACAGACAATTCATAGACACTGCGTCAAAATCTAACCCTAGGTTATAAAAACGTTACCCTACATAAAGTGAGGTCATCAGTGCCCTGGATTGCCATACATTAATTGCACTACTGTCTTTTATTTTGCCTGTGGTGACAAAAAACAGTCAAACTGCGAAGAAATGATCTTCTGGAAAAGTTCGTTTGATGCATTTTACCGGAATTATTGGCAGAATACACACTAAGCAGAGCTGCTTGGTAATTTTGTTCTTCTAGTCTAAATGTTTTGTGTTTCATGCATACACTGCTCCGACAAATTTGCTTTTTATTCGGTTTACGCATTATTAATGTAATATGAACTTTATGATAATTATTTAACATATAACTAGTCCGGCGAACACGTATCACTTTCTAGAGGGAACATAGTACTCAGAAAATATGGACGGAAAGAGTTCAGTAGAGATGTGTTTTAATCTCAATACATAGTACAAAATAAAACTTCACACTAGAAGTTTCATTTTACGTGCTATACTGCGACCGCGGGAGACGCACTTCGTGAGTGAACAGTGCTAATTTGCTTTCATTGTTTGTCTCTTACGATGTTTCCTGACATTTAACTCTGCTCCGCATTGAAGACGGAAGCGTAGATCTACATAAATAATGCTTAAGAGAACCGTAGCATTTTGTCAGTCCTGACGTTAATAAAGATAACTAAACAATAACCAAACCGTAGGTTCTTACAATTGGCATCACCTAAAAAAGATTAGGCGAAAAGCGAATGGTAAATAGAGCAATTATGTTGTCGATTATATGAGTTTGGATCAGCTTTTCATCTACAAAACGTGTGCAACGGTTTCAGCCGAATGAGGGGATAGGAGTTACGCGTCGGGAACGATGAACCTGACTATCGGCTGATTATATATTTTTGGTGTGACTGCTAGTGGAAAAGCTACATAGTAGAAGCGATAGCTCATATGCTGGGTCAAAATTGGCTGTCAAAGTCACATGGGTACGGTCGCTAACCGTGGATTACTTTTATTATATCCGTGGAAGCGACAGCTACCAAAGTGTCTGAGGTGACCAAGTCGTGTAGTAGACGCTACTTTGTCGTCTGCATCCTCTCCGTGCCTGGGCGAAGACGATTCTGCGAGGCAATAGTCCCTCCACTGCTACCTGTAACGTGTGACCAGATGGTCTATCAATCCGGAAAAACTTCTCTCACAACCTTCTGATTCAAACTTAGTATTACTTATCTGATATTGCTCGCCGACCCGCGAAATACTTCGGAGTCACTAACGGTCAAGTAGAAAACGGCCAGGTTTCTGATCCAAAAAGTATGACAGGACGAATAAAAGCAGCTTTCATAACCAAGCTGATATTACCTCGACACCGAGAATGTCAGAATTCGGCATAAATTGCCTTTTTTGCTTACAAGAAGGTGATTTTGTCCATCGCCACTTCACCGCAACTTATGCAACTTCCCGATGGACGAGTGTTACTTCCCCATCGAGTGGCTAATCTACACTTTGTACTTTGTACTCTACACTTTCTTCGCAAACGTACCAAACTTTTTCACAGAATTATTTAGATTACTTAAGATTATCTGCACCAAGAAGGGTGATACCGTTAAATTACTCACTGTTTATGATCGGTTACATAAAAATGTAATAAAATAGACACAATCATTCCCTAACTACTTTCCATTTGCTCAACATGGAGTATCTCTTTTGTGAGTATCGGCAGTCCCCCCGTTCATTTCATAGCTGCCCGCTCGCAGCTCTCGGAAGACCCAGTATTAAGTTGGTTTAAATAAAGTGAATTTATGCTCACACAAGCAGGCGTTGAAGAACGCGTTCAACCGACAAAGCTGGTACAATATTATCGATCGCAGTCGGCTTCGTCCGATATGCAGCCAAAAGAGGTGTCTTGCAGACTAATGTAGATTTGGTCCACTGCCCCTTTTTTCCGTCAGCTGAAGTGTATGAGCTTTATATATTATTCTGGCGAGTGCAAAATGGCACGCGCTGTTTATTAACACGTATCAGCGTAGGTTTTATTTTCTAGAAGACAACTCAAAGCCGTTTTGTAACTGTTTTGCATCTTCTTAAGAAACTCATCAGTGGAGAAGCACGCGGTAATGTAGGCTTTTAACAAAAGCGTTCACCAGTCTGTGGAAATCAATGAGTGGAGCAGTAGATTTATCTCCCGTTAAGATGCACATTTCTACCACTCGCCGTGTTACGGATAAGAAAATCTTTAATATATACTGGTGACCGATGCTGGCAGATAATTAAAACGCCAATCGTAGAATTGAAAATTGAAGGCTTTAGACACAGCTCTGAGATGCCAATAGAATGGCACTGTTCATGATATGAAAACATGTCTTCAGTTGAGTAAAAATCGGCACGTTCGCCAGATATGAAAAGGGAATTTAACAAGCTGAGCATAACATTTTGTGAAGCCAATTGATTGCATATTCTAGTCAAAACTAATGGAATTGTACGTGCTGAATTTTGATGTATTTGTTTTGGTTTGTACGCCAAAATTCAGAATGGTTGCTTCAACTGATCAAACAACATTTAGCGCTAAATTCAGTAATCTCCTTCTTTGTCTCACTAGTTACCTCATAATATGATTTTAAAACCGCCCAATCTATTTCAGCACCCTCGGTCCACGGCGTCCATACTTCAACTTTGCAACACACTAAGGAGAAACGGAATGTGAGTGCCGTTCGCTACAGCACACATGGGGGTAACAGCCATTTATATGCTGAACCTGACAAACGGAGTTGGTCTTGGCCATCATAGATAACATGCCCAGTTGCTTAACTGGTGTACTGCTTCCTACCAAGGTTTTGCATGTGGTTGCCTGATATTTGTCATTCACATTCGACAAACAATATTAAACTGAGCTTCCTTTTGAACTCAGTAGGTGCAGACACTGGTAGAATCTCACGAAACTTCCAGCCCCAGAAAGCGAATTCAAGTTGGCAACAATGAAATTCCGTGCAATCAAACAATCAAAAAGTCGCTTCAGTTTGGCCGTTTTTTGTCTCCGTGAAATTCCCACAAAATAGTGAGAGTGGACTCTGCTAGGAAAATCATGAACCGTGGATCCCAAATTAGTGACTATTCAAAGGGGCACTTGGAACTGATGTACTCAATCTGTAAAATTGAACAAGGCGAACCGCATAGTTGACGCAAAACCCTTTCCAATGGACACG